CAGCGGTCCAGTGGCTGCCCAGAAGGTGCTATACTTGGGGTCAGTGGGGGAACCCCATGTAAAGGCAGAGAGCCCTTGAGAGCAGACAAGCTGTCTCCTCCCAGAAACAAGCACCGAAGGAGGGCTACTTTCAAAGAAAACAAGCAGATACAAGAGAAAAGGTCCGGGACAGTTTTAGTAATTTGCTGCAGACCATGCAAGACCCCAACTCTACTAACAACCAGCCTGACCGGTAGAAACCTCTCCCATACAACCTCGCTCCTGTTTCAACTCCACTGTGTTTTCGTTTCTCTTTTTTTTTTTTTTTTTTCTTTTCTTTTCTTTCTCCTGCTTACAGTTTGCTTCCTCAGGGCTTTTTACTATCTGGCTCCTTTGGTTTCTGATCTAGTGGCCTTTCTCAGTTCCTGTACCAACAGCTTTAGTCGTACACCCCTCCTGCCTTTGAGGTGAGCTCCCTGCACCCTCACCAAGCACCCACCGACCCCTCGCCTGCTCCATTCGCTGCCACCATCACCCACATCTGTCTCCGTCTTCACCATCATCTGGCAAGAGGAGCCAGTGGGGGGTCTCCATCACCCCCCAATTTTCTGCACAGACTCCCCTGCCACCCCAGCACCAGACCAGGGCAGAAGGGGCAGCATCCTACATCCCATGGTGAGGCTTTACCCCCTAGGTCACCACAGTGAAAGCCAGGCTGAGGCGCACGTATCATTAATCCTCTGTATTCAGCATATCTAGTATCTGGAGAACTTCTTGAAATACAGACTGGGATTTTGCTTCTCAGCCTCGTTACCTAGTAAGTAGTGCTTACTAGGTAACATTCAGTGCTCTGCATAGGAGCTGTCTGTATCCAAGTTCTGCTTCAGTTTAGATGGGTGGTATAAATTGAGACATACTTACTAGCACAGTCAGTATTTAGTGCTGGAATATCCCCAGCTTTGGGTTAACAGGCGTTTGTTAAACCACAGGCATTTGCTTTCTCAGTTCAAACTATGTTGTCCGATTGCAGCAATACAGCAACCCCAATGCTGCTCCCATCAGCTCTCTGAGACGAGCATCAGGCCCGCTAGCACTGCAGAAAGTTGTCTCCAACATACTGACCTAAAGTGTCATTATGCAGTAATAAAATAGTTTCCAAGCACCTGATGTCCCCAGAACAGAAGCTCAACCACAGAGGCACAAAACAAGTCAGGTGATTTACATATTTTGGGGGCTATTTTGTAAAGCTGAATGTTTTTGATAAAATGGGATGAGATTCTCTGCTTTAGTTGGGCATAAATGGAGGCTTTAATCTGATAACATTTTGCTCTTACACACTTCTAGTCTACACTTTACCAAGGACCATCAACGAGATTACAGTTTTCTGTAAGCATATAATCATGCAGGCTATAAAATACACAACAAGCAAAATCCTGCATGTCCAAGCCTATCACAGGGGTGGATACGCACCTTGCTCCCATGCCTAATCTGACTCCCACTGGTGTTTAACTTTATCTGACCGGGGGGGTTACTGGGAGTAGGGAAGGAATATGGAGCAAACTTGGAAGTGAAGAGGGCTGCTTCTCTGAAACGAGAACTCGGTGGCTTCAGTACAATAGCACCGAAGTGGCACCGTTAAGTTAGAAAATGCTGTGCTGCAATGCCAGCAGAGAGCGAGCTGCAGCCTGCATGGCCACAGCCACCAGCCTCTGAGGTCTCCTTGAGCAGCTTCAACCTTTACCTCATGCAAAGGAGCCCAGCTCCAGCTCACGAAGACGATATATGCCATTTGCACCTCCTTTGGCCTCACCCCTCTGCAAAGAGCAGAAACTCCTGCCCAGAATGCCCAGAACACACCAGTACCATGTTATCCAGCTTTGTTATCTCTTTTTTAAGATGGGTCTCTTACCACTGGTGTTTGTCCTCCCTCCGCATCACCGGACACTCCTGCGCCCCTGCCCAGTGCCAAGGCAGGGACCACGGCTCTGCCCCAGCCCTGCTGCGTACATCTACCCTGAATCTCCACAGCCAAGTGCTGTGCTCTCTGATTCACACATCGGACAGACAGGGACTCGAACACAGTGCACTCTCAATAGTGTGTACTGTATTTTTATATCTATATAAAAAGTATTTTTATATAGATATAAAAATCATACTTATCCCTTGTTATGTGGTTAACCAAGGACACAGATCTGCTGTGCTGGAACCTGGATGCCTACCCCATTTGCTAGAAGAGGTGCCTTCAAAATCCAAGTGCTATACCTTTTCATGTGGCAGCTTCACCTCTGGAAACCTCTTTCACCTTAATGCTGGTGTTTACCTTAACCTCTTCAATTCTCCCTCTGCCTTTCCCCTTTCCAGCCCTGCTCTAAAAAGATCCAAAGCTTCCCCAGTCCACGTAGCTCTGCACCCTTCTGCTCCCCCAGGGAAAGTCCCCGTACTAAATTCAGGTCCAGGCCATGGCTATCAATCCTTTCCCCTGCAGAAAATGCTGCAACAAGAGGTTAGCCATCGTTCAAGTTTCCAGTCCCAGTCGACTGTTTTTATTCCACATCGAGCTACAGAGCAGCTGGGGCACCCACTGGGCGATGGCAGCACCTTCCCTTCCATCTCAGTGCTGCCCTGATGGGCTGCCCTGCACGAGGTGCCGAATGAACAGCACTTCCACCACTACAGCCGATCCAGAGTATCCTTGTTCTCACCAGATAGTGCCATCAGTTCTAATCAGGGACCAAACCACTGGAGAAGTTGATTTCTCCTGTGGGGCTAGTTTGTGTACACATGTTTTCACTAAGCTACAGTTTAAATACACAATTATAGCAGAAATAATGGATCTGAAGGATTAAAATTTGTAGAATTGATAGCCAGGTTTTCAAGGAACACATTAACACATCATTAGCAGCAACAAAACTGATTAATTATTTTACATAGAGCAATTTCACTGTACTGCAAACATGGATTAAATCAGAGCATGACTGGTACATCTGAAAAACCAGAGTGTAGCTGTTCAGGCCAAGCTGTCAGTCAGAGAGCTCCCACCACCCCGCTGGCTCTAGGGGAAGGAGCAGGTCTGAGGGGCAAGCACATTTCTCCTTGGTAAGTCTGGTGCAAAACTCACGAGGGGTCTGGAGGGCCCATGCCTGGCCCCAGCCTCTCGGCTCCTGGCAGCACCTTCCCCGAAGAAGCCCCACGAACAGCGGCTGTGCGGGCAGCTCTGTCGTGCCTCCCCGCTCCACACGGCAGGCACATAGACTTGCTCAGGACAGACATCTTTACTTTGTCTGGCATTTGATTTCAGCTGCATTTGTTCTTTTTTGTTTCTTCCCCCAAAGGGGACATCTGCAAGCTGCAGAGAGCAGAGAAACATAGTTTAGGGGTGTCACAGAGCCCCAAGCAGGTGCAATGCTCCTCTGTGAGACCACCTGAGCAATTTATCCCTCAGAATTGTGTGATTTACCTTCCTCGCTCACTAAAAAGCCTCATGGTGGCAAGCAAGGCTGAGCCTGCTGCCAAGTGGGGAAGCTAGGCCCGTCTCCACTCTTGTCATCCCTCCTCCATCTCATCACAGCACGTTTCACACCCATTTCAGCCGCGTCCCTGCACGAGCTCCCTTTGAGCATCAGCTGCCACCAACAACCCTCTCCTCTTCCTCTGCGCAGGATGACATGCACAGGGTCATTGACCAGCAGCTGATGGACAAACACCCGAAGGAATGGAGCCAGCTTGCTTATTCCTTCTCCAGTGGCTACGGCGCAAAGCGGAGTGCCAGACCCTCCCCCGTGTTCAGGCCGGAGCAGCAGGGGGACGAGCCCGTTGGGGCAGAAGGGAACCGTCTCTTTTCCTTTTTCAAGAAAAATTAATTTGAAAAAGAGAAACCTCTCCAACAGTTCCTGCTTCGAGATGGGGAGTGGGGCAGCTGCCCAGCTTGCTGATGGACCCAACTCTGATCCACTAAGAAAAAAAGAAGGGGGCAAAGGAGTTAACCCTTGAGACTCTGCACTATTTACACCGCACCTGGTCTGAACCAAATGTTTACATGAATTGGAGATTTGCAAATTGACAATGTGATACGAATAGAAAGAAATTTTTCTTATTCTTTAAGTGAAGTGATAAACTTCAGGGTATATTTTAGGCGCTTTGACACAGTCCAGTTTCTGCTGTGAAGAATAACTGATGGTGTTAAAAGCATTCTCATGCTGGAGAAGGAAATAAGCAGCCCCAAGACAAAGCAGCGCGGGGGATTGAGAACTGCCGTCACAGTGAGCACAGGGGGAGGAAGAGGGCTGAATGCAAGAGAAGAGAGGGGAGTGACTTACACCGCCCTCCGGTCCTGGCAGCTGTGATACCCTTCATCCATCCCACTGAGACTGGAGTCGCCCTGGCCCCGGCATTGCCATGATTTGACAAGTGTAGCTTTCTCCGTGGTGGAAGTTGAGCCCTCGCTGCAGATCCTGCCTGGGCACCATCTCCCCTGCAGCTCTGCACAGCTGTTCACCCCTCCCTGGGAATCCAGGCTCCTCACAGATCAGCACGGTTGTAGGACTGCTGCTGTTACTGTCTTCCCTAGCTCCCTCCTGTTAGAGATGAGTTACGGCATCTGTAGTTACACAGAATGTTAAGGATTTCTCCCCAAGAGGCTGATCATCTACAACAGATGACAAACTGGATAAGAGTTGTGGATGTTCAGTCCTGGGGCACCTACTGTCCCTCCAATGGCTAAAGGTAGTTGTGGAGCTCCAGCAAGTCACACACCTTTCCCCAAAGCCAGGTATGCCTCCCGAAGAGGGTAAGAAACCTGTCAGTTTAACTGGATAGGCTCCCAAAAAGCCTAATAATTCACTGAAAGCCTACCCATAATGATGTCAGTAGGTCTTTGGTGCTGGGTTGGCAGACTTGATCATCAGAAAACATGCAGGCATCTACCTTCACTAAAGCCAAAGGCGATTAGGGCACCTACAAAGCTCTGGAAAGCCCGCAGCTTACTCTGCCACACACAGTACCATTAGCTACGGCCTGACAAAAATAATGAGTATTTGTCCCTGCCTGCAGGTCATTTACTACACAGCCCTACAGCGAGCAGGTAGCCACATCTCCTTTTGACAGAAGATGATCAGAGCCTGCTTTGCTGTAAGCATGACTTAATCAACAAGAAGGAACGTAGCTTATTTGGTGTATGCACAACAGTGGTGCTGGAAATCCTGC